AATTCGTAAAATTTTTTCTTTTTAAATCTTAGGTTTTAAAATGTCATACAAGATTCCTTATAAGATTATCTACCTTTATCAAAAAAAAAAATGTCTATAAGAAAGTCAAATTGAATTTTTATGAGCATTTTAAATTCATATTTTTACAAAATTTGTTATTCACTCGATTTCTCATGTAATGATTTTCTTATTTTGTTGTACTTCAAAAACGAATAACTGTAGATACATGAAAATTTCACTGAATGTTTATATTACCAATTCTTATACTTGATAAAAATTTCAAAATCTTTTTGAGCTGTTTACGGGTATCGTCAGTTTTCAATTTTTTTTTTTCTATAAATATCAATAAAGTTTTATTTGTTGTAACAAAAAGTGTAAAAATGTAATACAAGGCTCCTGATATATTGTTAAAATATCAGTTGAAAAATGTTTAAAATACATAGGCACAATTTTTTTTATAAGCATTTAAAGATCGAATTTTGACAATATTTATCAAATTTAAAATTGAATGATTATTTTGTATTTAAAAAGTTATAAAATGTTCAACTTTTATATCAAAGGATTGAAAATTTAAAACAAAATTCTATGTAAGTAGTTAATCTGTTACCAAAAAATCTAAAAAATACACAAGCACAGTTATTTTTATAGTCATTTTAAGTTCAACTTTGGACAAAATTACATAAACAACTACTGTACAGCACCTGTAGAGCACCTTTTTGAACTGATGTTAATATATATTAGTGGTGTGCCAGGTGCCTAGTGAGTGGGGGTTATGCCCCACCAATTGTCCAATAAATCCACTTATTTGTGGTTTTGGTATAGCACCACAATCAATTTAAATGTATTATTACCGAGGATTTTGTAGCATTAGCATAATTCTAATTGAAATTAAATATTTTATTTTGCATACCTATTTTGAATTTGTTTGGATTTGCTATTTCTGGACTGAATGGACTTTTTGCATTTTGACCCATTTAATTAAAATTGGTTATATTTTATGAAATAACCTTTTAATAAACGTGTTTTTGATTATTGAATAATTTTAAAAGTAAATACCTACCTATTCAGATTATGTAAAATATACTACTACACGGACGCGCTGACGCATCATTTCGGTTTTAATTTTAAACTTTTGTTATCTGCTGATTTTGATGGGCCCCTTTTACGTCACTTTCGGCTGCGATTATATATATAGGTAAAATGTATATAATCCATATTAATAGATACAGTGGACTAGTTGTACTCTTACAGTCGTATCTAGTACCTACAAGTTTCAACCTACTATACTAGTTGTGTGAAAGTTGAGTGTTGTGGTTATTCTTTGTCTTCTTGACTCTTGTGCTTAACTTTATTGTTTTAAAATTCCAATTTTTGAATATTTTATTGTTTTTATTGCATATATCTAGCGATATTTATAAGTACCTACTATTATAGCGCGTATTTTTAAACTTTTAAGTACTCTAAAATACCAACTCTTATTACTTATAGCATCCCTCTCGGGTTCCCCCCCTCTAAATTGAAAATCCTGGGCACGCCACTGGTGTGTTTATTCTCCTGCATAAAAAATGTCTGTAGAATATGGATTTTATAAAGAATAGATTCTTTTTAGAGAGTAAGTGCTTCACATCCAAAGGCAGATGTAGAAGTAGTGTTCAGAAATATGCGAGTAGAGACTTGTGGGGTCTTTTTTTTATTAAATTTGAAATCCTAGTAAAACTTGAAACCTAGTAAAAAACCTAGTTGATGATGTAGAAACAATGAAAAAAAAAAAATTAAAAAATTAAAATAAAATAGTTACTATTTTTTATTTATATTTAGTTGTGAAGCGGGTTTCCCTTAAAAGTTAGAATGTATATTAAAGCAGCCCTTTTATTAAATATTATTAGGCAGTGGCTAAGCATAGTTATTCATAAAACCAACTTAGCAACTTTTGCAACATTAGCTATAGATGTAAGTGTTGATACGTTCAAAAGTTTTGTTTATATTATTTATTATATTCTGTATAATAGTTATAATCTTTTTTTTAGTTATCATGTTGCGGATTACATGGTGGGAATAGTTACAAATCAAAACAATTACCAATACCAGAATCATGTTATAAAGATCGGCGGAACTTTAAACAGTATGTTAAAATAAATAATTGTCATATGGGTTGTTTTGGTGAAGTGAAAAAACTTGAGGAAAAGTTTTTGGATCCAGTCATCATTCTAACATTTTTATGTTCGTTTCTACAAGTATGAAAAAATATTTATCAATTTATCATTTGTAATTTTAACATAAGTGCATTTGTTAATGCAGATGTCAAATGCTATACTGATTTTGAATTTATTAAGACCTAAACCAAACCCAAGAAGATACCACATTGCTTATAGAAGGACATAAACTAGCAAATAATATAAAAAATTTGTTTGTTAATATTTTGGGAAATAGAAAGGTTAGAAACAAAAAAAAAATCAAGGAGTATCCACACCGCATGTGATACATGTTTATGTCTTGTAAATTTATTCAATTTTACATTCATCGTGCTACGCTCAGAATCTAGAAAAATATAATGAGGTTGCTGTGGTAACTGGTAACCTAATTACACTAACATAGGTTGCTAGGTGCAACCTAGAAGTTTATAACATTTATTTCATCTTAGTTATTATTTGTTGTCATGGCAGCTCTAATGTGTAATCGATCAGAAAAATAAAATAATATTTTTGGCTCTCAACTTTCAACACAATGACGTCACAGAAACGCTTTCCATGTTTCACAAAATAATAGAATGACCTATAAGACATATACAATATACATGTCAAAATTAAAAATAGTCAACTAAATATATTAATGAATGAGGTAGCGCTTTAAAGATTATGTCTTCAAAATAATGATTTATAGATAATCTGATAATATAAAGTGTATCTTTAATGGAAATTCAAGAGATGAAAGACCACAAATAACATTTTTTCTTTTAGATCTCGAATAGAATTATATTGTAGTACAAGATTATTTAGGTACATCACTACATCAAAACATGAAGAAAGAGCTACCCAGCCATCGATAGTACCATTTTGTATTTTTTCTGTTTTTAATTATTCATAAGAACAGTGGCGTACACAGGATTTATTCAATAGCGGGAGAAGAGCTTGCAAATTAGTTACAATTTTATTTTTAATCTGTCCAGTCTAATAATTTCAGACTTTTATTTGAGGTATTTTAAAATGTTTATAACTTTTCAACTTTTCTGGTAGAAAAAATGCTCTGAATTGGATCTAGTTGGTACTTTTAGGAGGTAAAAATTGAAAATGCTCAGTGCTTTTTAAAATAATTAGAGAAAAACAATGAAAATTTATTAAAATAGTTTGGTAACCAGCTTGGTTATACCGTCCTCACTTGGATTGTATTTGAATAATTAAATTTTATTTTTTTCTATAAATGTCAATAAAAAATTATTTATCCGGTCAAAAATCTTAAAAATGTAATATGTAAGTTTTTATTATACCTAGCTAAAATATTAACAATACATAGGCATCATGGTTATTTTTTATAAGTATTTAAAGTTCAAATTTTGTCAAAACCACAGTTAATTTGTAGTACAAAACTTATAAAATATTAAATGTGTATACTGTATAGCTTAGGCTTGACCATTTAATACAAGGTCTTTCATGCAAGTAGTTCATAGGTACTTTTACCGAAAAGTTACAGATAATGTATGAACATTGGTATGCAAATACAATGTTTTTTCAAAAACGAATTTATTCTGGTAAGACATGAATGAAATTGACGTCTTGTTTACTATAGTATAAACAGTTGAAACTTGATAAATATATTTTTTTTTTAAGTAATAACAATATGGGTAATGGGGGGGGCTTCAGCCCATTAGTCCCCCCCCTGAGGACGCCACTGATTAAGAACATCTCTACAGTCTACACCAGTTCCTTTTCAGTTGTTGCTGTTTATTTCCAGAATTTATATTAGAGGTTTGGGATGAGAAAGGAGTCTATCGTTAAATTATTTGTAGGATGTTATTGCTTTTGTATGACTGCATGAACAGTTTTAGTTTGTAAGTCTGTATGTAAATTAAAATTGGAAATATATGGTGGAATATCAGTGATAGTGCATAGGATTTTGTTTTGAAAAATTTGAATTTGTTTGAGATTGGATTTCTTGCCATCCATTTAGGATTATGCTGCCCTTGGTACACATTTTTTTTAATGGCCTTTTCCCCAACGGTTTTTTGAAAATGGCAATTTTTCTCACCCATAAAAACACTTACAACACATGTGTCATGTGATATAATGGCAATAGTATCATGCAGGTATGGTAAATACTCTCAGAAGCAACGAATAACAAAATAATCAAAGCAAACTGTTAAATATATTTATTTATTTTTATTTATTTTTAAAAGAGTTAACATATTAAAAAATTATATTTCCTGTAAAAGACATTGATAGGGCCGCATATTATAAGATGTAGAGATTGATTGCACAGAACAGCTTTGTTTATATCAAGGTATTAATAGAATTTTTTGTTGACCTTGATTTACCTAAATCATTATAAATCTGTTTTCAAAAAAAGCTTCCACAAAAATTTGCCGCCCTTAAAATAGTTTTGCTTTCCCACCTTTAAATACGCCACTGCATGAGACAATTAGTCCACATAGCCTTAATAAAAAAATCCATAAATGAATAGTTTGATATTTAATTCAGTGTGTTCGTTGAATATTAATGTTTTGATCAAGAGGAGATGCACATTTAAGGTGTGTTTTTTTTATTCTTTTATGGTGCTCAGATGAGACGATGAGCAATGGTTAGGCTAAACTCAACTTATAATATAAATTGAATACAATTATTAAATTTCAAAATTCTATCTTTTATTATTAAAATAATTACAGTTTTCAGTCAGTTTTTTCTTTGTAGTAAAATTATTAATTAATTAAACAAAATATGTTCTTAAAACTATTAACATTTCAGTTGTTATAATTTTCCCATGATTTATTGATTATTTAAGTTTAAACTTCAATTTTCTTTTTCATCCCTTACAATTTCCAAACATCTCCTAGCAAATTCTTCAAATATTGGTTCAATCATAGCTTTTTCCAATTCTTCATTAGGATTAGTACTGTTGTCTATTTTTTCCAATAGTTTTTGTAAAAAAGAATCAGAAACTAATTCTTTTAGACGATTGTCATAACCTAAACACAAAAAAATTATAAATAAAATATCAATGGCCAAATTGGTAAGTTAATTAATTAGTTAGTTCATTGTATAAGGTTAACCTTTAATTATTTTGATTATCTTAAACATATAATCAAGTCAAATTTAAATATTTTGAATAAAGTTTTTTTTTAACAAATCAGAGAACTAAAAAATTACAATAATTTTTTATAGCAAATTGTAAATAATAACTAAATTGAAAGAATAAATGAGTATACTATTAAGACTTGTATAGAAATACATAGCTTAAATTTAACTGTAAAATAGAAGGAATTTAGAAAATTTTCAATTAGGTACACCTAAATTAAAGTTTGATTAATCCTTAAATGGTTAAGCCCTAAATATTAATAATTAGATAAATAGTAGGTAAGTTAATTCATACATACAAAGTAAATTTAATTTTTCGGATGGGATTGTGTCTTCAGTTGGATACAGCTGTACATTTTTTAACATTTCAACCGATGCATCTTGGTTGCTTGTTGTACAATCACCTGATAGATGATTTTGGTAACATGCAACAGAACAACTGGAAAATAAGAACATTTTTGATTGGTTTATAAATAGTATATAAATAGCAATAATTCAAATACATGACACAGACATTTAGAAATGGCATTTAGTAAATTGGAAATATCACCACTAATTTATATCATGTTTTAATTTATTTTTGCTACTACTGTTCTTGATCTCTGGTGGACAATTATCCAATGGTGCCAAATTTACGATATGCTTTGTGTCACATAAAGTACATTTTTTAATATCCTAATTGTTGGTCAATTGTGGTAAACCTAGATAAATATTGAATTTTTCAATAATAATAAATACCGTCTTACTATGTTTGAAAATCGATTGTTCCATTAATATTAAAATATACAATAAAATGTAACAAAAATATGTAATAAAATAAATAAAAATAAATCTAAATTCTATTTATTATCGTATAACACATTTGTATCAAATTAAATTTTAAATACACTAATTTCTTACAAATATGGATTGCACAGAGTTCCAAGCAAGTATAAGTACTATAGTTACTGTATCATACACATACCACATTGATATATTGACATATCTAACACAGTAAGCTGAGCTAGAGAATTTTGATTATTATAATTCAGTACTGACCACGGCTTTCTATTTAAAGCCGTGGTACTGACGTAAATATATTAAAATAATTTATTTTTTAGAATTTGGTTTGGGAATATAGGTAGGTAATCCATCTATTTTGACCAAATACTGCAAATATTTTATTAACAATTTGTCTGATATTTACAGGGTGGGCGAGTGATCTAACCAAAATCAAGAAACTACATAAAATAAATTGAAGATAAATATTTTAGAATTATTTATAAGTTTATATTTGATACTTACTACTTGACGTTTCTACATTTTGGACATTTATATTTGGGTTCATTAATTTCGCAAATATGACACTTCATCACAATTCTGAGTTTAAAAATGTGTATTAAGTTAATCAGGTTTAACTTGGTATTTTAATCAAAAACAAAAACTAATAACGAAAGAAATCTAAAATATAGAAACATATAATAAACAAATAATATTTCCTTGAAATGTCTTGAATCTCAAAAAAAAAACGTGTTTAACTTCATAAAAATTATTCTTATCTGTTATTTACAAATGTGGATGATAAGGAATAACGATAAGAAATTTAAATGTATGTTAGTAGATAAGTAAATATCGTATTATTGTTCTATGGTATTAGCATCATAATAATTCTATTATTGTCCTTACTCCTTTGTCTATAAAATTTTCCTATTAGATCATGGCTCAAACATTGGTGGTCATCGGGGGGGCTTGAGGGGGCTTAACGTCCCTAAAAGTCCGTTGAGTACCCTCCTTTTTTAGTTTTGTCGGATCGAAGCTTCCTTGCTCACATTGATGTTATTAATGTTAGCCACACTGAAATTTTAATGGATTTCCGCCTATGGGCCTCCAAAGTCTAAATATAGGTACCTAAATTGTCTAAATAGTAAATAGGGCCGGCATAAGCTATGGGCAACCTGGGCGACTGCCCTGGGCGTCAGCACGGGAGTGCCAAACGGAAAATTATTTTTATTTAATTTATCTTTTAATACACACTAACAATCTATACAATTTGAAATATTCATTATCTAATGTGGTTTTAATCGAAGACATATCTGCAATATTCATATTATATTTTGTTCAGTAAATTTGTACATAATATTTTGGTTTCTTATTTACAATAAGTTCCGTTCTCTGGTTGTCTTAATAAGTAAGTGATAAGTGAAACACAGTATTCCTATATTAAAGGCATTAGGCAGTGGTGGCGTGAAATATTATCAAATAAAATTATATTAAAATATTATATTCATTTAGAGGCCGTTACAGTGACATTTGTTGTCTCCGTCTTACAAGTGCGTAACATCTTAAAATACTCATAACTCGCTTTAAAATTAAATTATAATAAAAAGCCTATGGCGTTGTCTAGATAATAACCTTACCTTTAAATTGTATAAGAGGTCAATTCGCTCTAATGTTTAAATTAACGGGAGATAAACGTGTTTTGCTGAGCGTAAATTTGCTACTTGTAAGACAGAGAAAACAAACGTAACTGTAACGGCCCCTAAATGAATATATTTTAATATAATTTTATTTGATAATTAATATATGGCGCAAGGGTAGATATAACGTGGTGAATCGAACATTTATTGTTATGAAAACACTTAAACACGTTTTCGCAGTATTTATAAATATTATAATATCATATTTAAGTAGGTACATGAAGATGGCTCCCGACTATGTTAATAAAAAATCTATTTTATAAAACAATGTTAATTGAATAAAAATTGTTAACAAATATTCTAAATTTGTTAAAAATTCATATGTAATAAAAATAATATGTATTAACTAATAAAAAAATTTCGCCCAGGGCGCCAATATTTCTAGCACCGGCCCTGATATTGTAAATATCTACTGTACAAAATAATGTATAGTATATACAGTCAAAAATGTCTGAATGATTGACAATCGTTGTTCAGGTTCAGTACTTTTGGAGGAGTAGTGTCGTAGTGATTAGGGTTGAAGTGGGGAATTATTCAAAATTTATATTTCAAACTTTTTTTAGAAGACTATTCATTCAGCTTTGAGCAATGAAAAACTGCATTAAATTTGAACTTTGTAAAAGCTTTATAGTAGGTTATCATAATTGCATATAAATATCTGTTTTCAAATTGAGGATTTGATCCCATGTACGGAACAATAATATTTAAACATTTTAAAGAAATAAAACAGTTTATAGTTTCTATTTATTAATACTTATTTTTAAATTAGTTGACATTAAGAGGATACATGGAAATAAGTCACCTTAAATAAACATTTAATTCATTTAAACATTATAAGGAGTATAAATAACACAAAAATGAGTTTATTGCTTTGAAAATCACATATAAAATATATCATTATATAAGCTAAATATAAATACAAGGTGTTTTTTTTACTAAAAGTTGTCATTACACTCATTAATTTGGTTAGATTAGTGTATATTTGAAACATTTAAATTAAGGTACAATTCTTAAGTATTATATTTTGTATAAAAATTTTTTTTCAATGTAACCTATATTTTTAATTTCATATTTGAAATGTGATTTTTCTGAACAACTCAATTTATGAATACAAAATACTATAATATTTTATATGTATATGATATATGTTCAATTATTAAATCAAATGTTTTTTTTAATGAGTTATGAACATTCAGAACTAAAAGATCAGTATAAAAACAAAATAATGAAAATTAGTTTTTTATTAATGCCAAAATATAGTGTTGTAATACTTTAATCTATGCAAAAGTTTACTCAAATGGTTCTAAGAAAAAAAAACACCTTGTATTATATAATATTTATATAATGTTCCTAGTTTCCTACAAACTTATTTAAACAATACAATACATTAATGAGTTATAAAACTATAATTAAATACATTTAATTGTTTCAAACTAATATGAGAAATTACAGTTTATCTGATAACCTTGAAATGGTAATATGTTACCATAGTAAAGGAACATTAAAATTTTTAACAAAAAGGAATAAAAATAAAATATCTTTAACAGAGACTCGTGTTGTAATAATTTGAATAAAAAAAATTGAATATGTAATGTAAAAACTACAATTTTTAATTACAATTTAATAAATTTATAGATTTAAAAGGCACAATAATTTGTCTACTTATACCGAAGTATAAGATAGTCGAAATTCATTTATTTTTCTATTATTAGTAACTATAATACTATTTTAAAATACTCATAAAATCAATTTTACATTAATTAAAATTAAAAGGAAATTCATAAATTATAATAGTTAACTAGTATCACAATGATTTTATACTAAAAATATTCAAAGATCTAATAAATATCTTAAGAAATAAGAAAGAAATCACATTTAAGTATATCTCACAACTAATGTAAACAATTATTAATGCAGATTTAACAATGGATATGTTTCATAAGCCCTAAAATCTATAATTCTTTTTTTTATGGAATATAATCTAATACTAAAACAGTCTAAAGTATTATTTTAATGTTTAAATGATTGAATTTTATATTGCAGAATAAATTATTATTAAGTAACTATAAGTATTTTATAAATGTGAAAGGTTTGTAAAAATATCCCAATAATCATAAAAGATTTTAACTTTTACTAATTTTTAGTAAATTATCTAAATAATTTGATCAATAAAACAATATGAAAACTTTTTTTTTTTAACGTGTCTATAGTCATAATGTAATTATATACATATATAAATTTATATATATTTAGTAGATATAAAAAAATAAAACAAATATAATTGGTTCATTACGATTATACACATTTGAAGTATAGCAGTTTTGTCACGTATACTAAACCTAAAATTAAATTTGTATACTAGGCACATACATTATTTAAGGGAATATTTAATCTAATCACAATCAATATAAGTTATAATAATTTCTATTTAAAAAAAATGTCAATCTTAATAATGAATTATGGTTTTTAGTTTCATACTTCATTATTATTTCTTGTTGGAAGTTATAATAAAATTTTAACATTTGATAGAATTTACAGTTGATAAGTTGATAAAATATACCTTTCATTTGCTCAATTTTATCTACTAAATGTTTCAATATTTTCATTTGAAGTTTTTAAATTAAGAATTTAAACAATAAAATTATTATTTCTGGTGAACTGAAATTTTTCATTATTTTAATTAATGAATGTGAAATACCAATTAAAAAAATATTATAATATGTTTACATTGTACAAAATTACAATAAATAAACAATAAAGGTTTTTTTAATTTAGCCTCAAAAATAACATTTGCTAGGACAGTTCTACAAACGTTTCTATGAGGCTACATCAATGATTTCTTTACAGAATTTAAACTTTTAAAGTATAGTTGAATAAAATAATAAATAAATAATAAATTTAATTAAATGTTTTTGGTAGTGTAGTATGAATATTATGTGTGCCGTACTGAAATAAAAATTTTAAGTTGTGTCGTACGTAAATAAAAATTGTAAAGTTAGGCATTTGAAAAATATGAACACTAAGTTTAAATATAAAATTAGTAATATTTTTAAAAAAAAAACTAACATAAAATAATTTAAACTAGAATGTAAATGAGCTTAAAATGAAATTGTATTATAATATACAGTCAAATAGGATTAACATGTTTGTAATTCAATCATACTATAGTATTTACTATTTAGTATTTACACCATAGTTTCAGGATCGTTCCAGTCATATGGATGGCCTAATATGCTGATATCGCTGTCAAATGATACTCTCCTAGATCCAGATTGTATGCTATTAATGCCACGAAGAAGATCTATATCTTCATCGAATGAACAACCTCCACCTTCAGATCTCAATTGCAAAGATTCAGTACTCTTTGAAGATAATTGAGAAGTCAAAGAATGTTGAGAGTTTTCTTTATAGTACATGCCATTAAATGTATACACTTTGTCTGATCTAAAACAAACTTTATGTCAATACTTTAAATTAATTTTAACTAGATACCTTATTTTACCGGTCAGTATTTGATTGTAAGTGGTCAGATTGTGGTGAAGACATATCTGACACTAAAGGAGTACTTTCATCATCACTGCTTGCAGTTGCACAGACTGCTGAAGAATGATTTGTATCTTGTGGTGGACTCGTTGGTAATTTTTCATTGCTGCAAACTGGTGATATAGTGACCGCGGGGGGTTGTTGCACCCAACTTGTACTTGCTACTAAGCAACTTAACATACCAACCGAGCCTGCAATACCTTGTTTTACAATTCCGCCAGTCTAAACATAGGGTTTTAATCTCATTATTAACAATATTTGATAACAGATTACTTTTACATTTCACAAATTTTGAACGTACTTGTACAGAATTTTTTGTTTCCGGTATTATGTCTGAATCATCAAGCCTGTTC